CATAGAATACATTTCCTAGTTAGATGTAATATGTATGCAAGTCTGGTGTCGTTTCTGTCCCAGAATCCAATGTTGACATTTTCAGCTATTCAGCCATTGTACCAATCGATCATGAGTGGAGCCTAATTATATTCTGGCCATGAATTAAAAGGATCTTAGTATTGATATGGGTCATTTGTCCATTGATCTGGAGCTGGTATACAAATTGTCCACTTTTGCCAAAAGTTGACGACTCATCCAAGTCATTGCCTGTTCAGATAACGGGTGAATGTGCATTGGGGGAGACATTCCACGGAATGTTTGTTGCCTGGGAATGTTCAGGAATCCAGGAAAGTAGCCATCCGGACTAATCCGTTGAATCATGAGACTTCCAGCTCAGCTTGATAATAGAGTGATATGGTAAGAGTGAGGACTTCTGAAGGAATGTCTGTAGTTGTAAGTGAACTATGCTCAGCGTGTGTGCTAGGGTCATGGTTTAAAGGATCGATGTGATGTGTGTTTGTTGATAATTGTTCAATGACCGTGGACTCAGTTGTTGTTTGAATGGTGTAGGGTCAGGCTAATGGAGGCCTGATCTACCCACGTGTTCAGTGCTCATTACTGGGCTTGGCTTAGGTTATAGTGATTCTTACGCAGGGAAAAATATGTTGTCTTTTCACAGTCATGTGGAAATGTGACTGTTGAAAAGAAAATTTGATTTTGTTCAGTTTATGAACGTTGCATGTCATGCTGCTTTGTAAATTATAAATTATGGATGATTGTTGCATCAGTTAATGTATTTTTTTTATGTCCAGATGCCTTTGTATTTCAGTAATGGTTGAGTTTTTGTGATATAGCTTGTTATTGTTTGAATAATTAACTCCTGATGCTAGACCCCTCTATATGAAGGGATATAACATTAATGTGTTTATCATAAGGGAATCATGTTTTGTCTAGAAACTGTAAAATTTAAACTTTCCCAACACTGCTCACAACAGAGACCATATATTATATGGTCTCTGCTCTCAACAAGATGAATCAACAAGTAGATTTGGCTCAACGCAAATATTACTTTTTAGGCCAGACCAATTTTAATTCTTGTTTTACAGATCCGCCGGTCATACTTTTCAAGAATAAGAAAAAAATAGAAGTTAATTTTCCCTGCCCAGAAAATAAAATCCTAATGTTTTATTGTCAAACTTCTAAATGTACAAGAAAAGTTTTTTTTAGATTGTGTTTTGCCCCATATACACTTTATAAATTGCCAAAAGTAAAATACTTTTAGTATTTATTTATTTTTATTTTTATTTTTTTCCCCTCCTGCCTTTAGGTTTTCTGAGGACAAAAATCTGTAAAACTAGAAATAAAATTGGTCTGGCCTAACATTGAATGAATCGTCACTGCATGAAGTAAAAAATGCTGAATAATTGTGTTAAACGGGGTACATTTAAGAAAAAATGTTTTGGTGATAGTCATTAATGTCATGGTTATTTCCCTACTATTTTTCCAACCCAGAGACAAAGTTGCTTTGAAATATTATTAATAAATATATTAATGAACAAATTATTGCCAGTTAGATGATATACATAAAGTCAATGAGGCCACTAATTGTAGTTTGTTATAACCATAGTTCATTATACCCAATTTGACCAAAACTATACCACAAGTGACAGGACAGAGACTATTAGTAAATATTAGTATATGTTAAAAGCATGGTAGGTATAAACATATTTTATGGTTATTTGAGTCACACTTTGTTAGAAGCTGGTAATTAACAGTAAATTAAGAAAAGATATTTATGCATGGCATTACTTCTATATTTCATCATGATGGTACGTTTCGGTATGGATCCTTTTACTTTGGTCAAACAAGAGTGACATATACATTACGGCTGCACAATATAACCGGTTTACCGGTATTTACCGGTTCAGACATGAAAATGATACGTATTGCGATACGCTGATTGAAAACTGGTATTTTGACTTTCATTCGGAAAACTTCGTAACACTCGGAAATCTTCGGATATTTCCTTGTTTCATTTGTGCTAAATATTATTTACAGTTTTTGTTTTGTCATGATTAAAAGATTTTATTAAAACTTAATCAAGCATAGTTATTTTGTTGTGTTCATGCTTTATAAATCAAGCATTAACTCGACTACACGTATTGTTTTGTTTAAGAATACTTCTTGCAATATATTGTAATACATATCGCAATATATGCTTTCACATCGCAATATATCGCAATAAGAAAATTCTCTGCAATACCCACCCCTAATATACATATACATGTTCTACATATTGGATCCCCTCCTCTGTATGTGTTTTCACTTAACTGGTGACTATGGAATGCTGTTCGTGTACCGACCATGTTTGTGTTTGTACATTAAGTAGGGTGAACTGTTCACTGTTTGAACAGTACCCTGTAGGTGTTGGACTTCACAGGAGTGAATGAACAATACACATTCTTGTTTACCAAAACATGCTGACTGAAGCTTTGCCAAATGAAGAGCAAATAGGTTTACTTACGTACATTAATAATATGATTACATTTCTCTAACTGACTACACAAACATAGAGAATGAATGAAGGTTTCACTCAGCTGAGGTAGGGGTTAATAATATAAGGACCGTGTCTATATGTGCTATTAAAAAGGGTTGAGGAATACCTGATTAATTCTTATGACTATAGGGCAGTGGCGTAGCCAAGTGGTTAAAGCATTCGATATTGCCGAAATATTGCTAAAAGCTGTGTAAAACTCAAAGTCACACTGAAGACCTGGGTTCGAGTCCCCACATGGGTACAATGTGTAAAGCCCATTTCTGGTGTCACCCACCATGATATTGCCGGAATATTGCTAAAAGCGGTGTAAAACTCACGCGCTTACTCGCTCGCTCATATGACTATAGGTACTCAGTCAGATGCCATATGGTCATATGAAAAGAATCAGGTGTTTTTAAACATTTTTTTAGTAGTATATATATATAATACCTTGCTGCAGATTTGATATTGATGAAAATAAAATGAAAGTATTCTGGAACATAAGCTGTCAACAGTGAAAGAAATGATTCTGTATACCCAATACGATTATGTTTTTAATTACTCCACACTTTAAGAGTAAACTGGTTTACATGTGTGATAAGGTGAGCAAGATAGTAAGTCTGAAGGCCTTTCTAAACAGTATGACAGCTCCATTTCAGTATGACATATTGAGTATGGTGCTGACAAATCAAGAATGATAGTCAGGTTTTGTCTAGGATTTGAACTGCAAACCTAAAGATTCTGGTATGTGTGGAATGAGTGATTACTTTGACTGCATGTGTTTTCAGTATTCAGTTGATTTTTTGTTTGAATTGCAATTGCATGCATTGAATAACATACCCAGACAAGTACCAACCAATATGGAAATATCCATGGTGTTTCTTTGTCACACGATGATTTATCAAGGAGGTGCTGACGTATAGAATGATTGCAGTTCCATGTAGGGTTTCCCTGAACACTGACATAAATTCTTCAGAATGCTGGTCTGATTTGCTATAAAGAGGGTGGGTGGCCATTAAGTGTTTATTGCCATTGATTATTGTGTTGTTTTGTCTGTATTTAGGACATGTTGACCGAGTTGATGAATGTTCTAAAGTGTTCACCTACACCAGAAGGGTGTAACTGTGCTATGTTTTGATGCTATGGATATCTATTATGAATGAGGTGGATACATGGTTTTGATTCCTGGCACTATTAATAATATATTTCATGATGACCTATTCCTCACCAGTACAGAAGGTTATGTGTAAAATATTAAGCATCATTCTTTGATTGCCTTTTCAAAGTTTGGAAGAACCATAAATGCAAATTTTATCGATAACTTCTTTTATTTCATATTTATAAGCGAGATGTTCAATACAGATTCCTGGTTGACAACAGTACAAGAATCTGTATTGAAACATCATGCTTACAAAATGAAAGAAATTGTTATGCATAAAATTTGTCATTAATTAAACTTCAGTGCCAGATAATGGCTTGTATCGATGTACCGATTCCACTAGTATAGAAGGAAAGTGCTGTGTATGTGTACAGATCACTGACAATCAGTGTGACACCAGGTGTTAATGTAGCTGTAATAAGTCCATGTGGCATTATAGGAGTTACGATCATCTTAGATCATCTACAAATGTTGTAGCTCTTTGCTGCAGTATGAAAGTTACGGTATGTGTAGTGTCAAGTTCGCTTTGGCCCAGTTTTTGTTGATGTTTATGAGATGTTCATGATAGCATCTAGAATCACCATATACACATCTTCTGTTTGAATCCATGGCCAACAAAATTGTAGAGAGTTACAGAGAGCAGAGATGAGATGTTCCATCTGATGCGGGTGGCAGTCTGAATGGCTGATATTTACCCCTGGTCATAGGTGACGTGTTGAGTGTGAGGAGTAAGATCATGTTAATGAATGTCAACTCCCACAACGCACTGCAAGTGTTTACCTGTGGATAACGAACATGTGGACATGTTGGTGCTGATCAGATTACTCAATGTTTCAGGACATTTGCTTACTGTGGTCAACAGTAGTCTGCATTTGTCAAGTGATTACAAGGATTCTGTGTCACCTCTTGTCAGGCATATTACACATCCTCTGACACTAACGACCAGATCACAACACAAGTGACTCAGTTCAATCATATTTTGTTCTGTGTTGATAGAAGCCCCTGTTGATAATATTGTACCAATATGACAGAGACTGTAAATAATATTCTGGACCAGGTGGACCAATGATTGGTAATATGACCAACATCTCATGCCACCAGGGTATAATAGTTAATTATCCAAGTCTCACAACCAGATCCTGTACTTTGCAAGGAGCTTACCGTTGCTCCACATCCAAACTGGGTGTCTATACATGGAAGGGTAGCACAGTGGTCCGTTTGTTGTCTTGTGTTCAAAGACCTAGGTTTGATTCCAAATTTTGCATCATATGCTCTCATATGCCAGAAATAGCTTCCATCCTGACCTTCACCTTTATGTTTCAGAGCTTAGAAAGGAAAAAGTATGGGATTGACTCGAAGCGGCCCGACTACCGCCCTGGTGGTGGAGATATCCAGATCTTCAGTGAGAAGAAGGAGTATAAGGCAGAAGCTCGAATTGATGCTCACGCCTCACCAGCATCTCGGGCCTCCCCCAAACCTGGCACCCCTCGTACCACCCCGGTCAAGTCACCCTCACCTAATTTGTCTGGTGTGAGATCAAAGATAGGATCCATGGATAAAGCCAAGCACACCCCTGGAGGAGGAAATGTAGGACTTCTGAACTTAACTCCTAATTTTATTCTTTTGATTATTATTATGATTCATTCTGGCTCATTGCAGTGTTGTGTGAAATTGTAAGTATGGTGTATGTTGTAATAAGGGCCAGCTGATTGACCATGTCTGTATAGACATCAGTCATTGGAACTCTTCTTGCTGTGAATAAGGATCACTCATGCGAACCATTCTTGCTGCAAGAAAAGGTTGCTTGTGTAAACCATTCTGGTGAATAAGTCTAACACATGTGAACCCTTCTTGTCAGTAAGAGTCTCTTGTATGAACTGTTGTTGAGAATAAGGATCACTCATGCAAACCATTCTTATTGGAAACAAGGGTCACATTTGTGTGTTCTTGTGAGTAAGAGTCATGCATGTGTGTTCTTCATAAGAATAAGGATCACTCATGTGAACTGTTCTTGTATGCTAAGATTAAACTGTGAATTGTTGCAGGTGAGGATTGTAACAAAGAAGACGGACTATACATCTGTGTCCAGCAGAGTTGGCTCCAAGGACAAGCTCCAGCACAAACCTGGTGGGTAGAACCTTCAGTCTGCCTGCAGACACCACAATCACAGGTCACAGAAAACCTGCAGACAGCACAATCACAGGTCACAGAGAACCTGCAGACAGCACAATCATAGGTCACAGAGAACCTGCAGACAGCACAATCACAGGTCACAGAGAACCTGCAGACAGCACAATCATAGGTCAGAGAACCTGCAGACAGCACAATCATAGGTCACAGAGAACCTGCAGACAGCACAATCACAGGTCACAGAGAACCTGCAGACAGCACAATCATAGGTCACAGAGAACCTGCAGACAGCACAATCACAGGTCACAGAGAACCTGCAGACAGCACAATCATAGGTCAGAGAACCTGCAGACAGCACAATCACAGGTCACAGAGAACCTGCAGACAGCACAATCATAGCTCACAGAGAACCTGCAGACAGAACAATCATTGGTCACAGAAAACCTGCACGCAGCACAATCATAGGTCACAGAGAACCTGTAGACACCACAGTCACAGGTCACAGAGAACCTGCAGACACCACAATCACAGGTCACAGAGAACCTGTAGACAGCACAATCATTGGTCACAGTGAACCTGCAGACAGCACAATCATTGGTCACAGAAAACCTGCAGACAGCACAATCATATGTCACAGAGAACCTGTAGACACCACAGTCACAGGTCACAGAGAACCTGCAGACAGCAAAATCATAGGTCACAGAAAACCTGCAGACACCACAATCATAGATCAAAGAAAACCTGCAGACAGCACAATCATTGGTCACAGTGAACCTGTAGACAGCACAATCATTGGTCACAGTGAACCCGTAGACACCACAATCATAGGTCACAGAAACCCCGCAGACACCACAATCACAGGTCACAGAGAACCTGCAGACAGCACAATCATAGATCACAGAGAACCTTCAGACAGCACAATCACAGGTCACAGAGAACCTGCAGACAGCACAATCACAGGTCACAGAGAACCTGCAGACAGCACAATCATAGGTCACAGAGAACCTGCAGACAGCACAATCATAGGTCACAGAGAACCTGCAGACAGCACAATCATAGGTCACAGAGAACCTGTAGACACCACAGTAACAGGTCACAGAGAACCTGCAGACAGCAAAATCATAGGTCACAGAAAACCTGCAGACACCACAATCATAGATCACATAAAACCTGCAGACAGCACAATCATTGGTCACAGTGAACCTGCAGACAGCACAATCATTGGTCACAGTGAACCCGCAGACAGCAAAATCATAGATCACTGAAAACCTGCAGATACCACAATCACAGGTCACAGAGAACCTGCAGACAGCACAATCATAGGTCACAGAAAACCTGTAGACAGCACAATCATTGGTCACAGTGAACCCGTAGACACCACAATCATAGGTCACAGAAACCCCGCAAACACCACAATCACAGGTCACAGAGAACCTGCAGACAGCACAATCATAGGTCACAGAGAACCTGCAGACAGCACAATCATAGGTCACAGAAACCCCGCAAACACCACAATCACAGGTCACAGAGAACCTGCAGACAGCACAATCACAGGTCACAGAAAACCTGCAGACAGCACAATCACAGGTCACAGAGAACCTGCAGACAGCACAATCACAGGTCACAGAGAACCTGCAGACAGCACAATCATAGGTCACAGAGAACCTGCAGACAGCACAATCATAGGTCACAGAAAACCTGCAGACAGCACAATCATAGGTCACAGAAAACCTGGTTGATGTCTAGGTAGCAATAGGTCACACATCTTCATGGACAGTCTCAATACAGATGTACATTAAGACAGCCATTGAGCCATCATAAGACTTGAAGTTTCCTGAAGCCACACTAAACTAGATAATACATTGGCATATAATTTAAATAAAAATGTAACATAATGTTTCTTTTTCAAATATTCAATGACTGTTAACTGCATCTGTTAACATGAATGTATAAATGAAGAAATAAGGACACAAAAAAGACAATTTGATGATGTGATGTGGGTCCTTTGGTACTGAGGCATGCAGAGACTATCGAATGATCAATTTATCATGGCCTTGAGGTAAACCCAAGCTTCTGGAGGCAGACCGAGATGAATGGAAATAATCAATAAATTATGGCCTCAAGATAAAACATAGCTACTGCTTGTAAACCTGTAGGAAAGATAATAAATTTCCTGGGATGTTGTCCTGGAATTGTTAACTCGGAATACTTGGGTCGGCTGGGTCGTCAATAGGACCTGGGTACCCAAAGGCCCACCAATATGTAGTGTGTTATATATAGTTTTATGACAAACATTCATTCAGAAACTCCATGGTTACCTACTATACAGATTGCTAATATTTACAAATCATTACCACATGGGTACAATATGTGAAGCCCATTTCTGGTGTCCCCCACCATGATATTGTTTGAATATTTCTAAAACTAAAACTCACTCACTCACTCAGTTTGACTACACAAGCATTTTTCTGACCTTTATATGTTTGTGACTTGAGACCCAAGGCGGGTACCCATGTAGTAGAGGGACAGGTACCAAGTTAATATATATGCATTCACATGTTCAAATGATCTGGAAGGTGAAAAAATCTGCTCTTAACATTATTCTTCTCGTTTATCATTTTTGTCAAGAAGTTTCTTCTGAGTGGTCTGTTCTATAGCAAGATCTGATGTTCTTCTTCAGGAGGGGGAAATGTGAAGATAGAGAACAAGAAGCTGAGCTTGGATAGTGTAACGCCTCGTATCGGTTCCCTGGACAATGCCAAGCATCAAGCTGGAGGCGGGGACAAGAAGGTAGGGGATCTCCCATCTACCCATGCCTGTGTTAGATGTGAGGCCATTTAATCAAGCTGTTTGCATTCTGCTTACTTTTATTTGCCTTTTCTTAATATTGCAATCTCTGTATAATATTATCTGATGTAATATTGTTCCATTTTAAGATCGTTATGATGGAAGATAATTCAGTGAGGCAGAGATATGATATGTTGTTACTGCAGCAGTAAATGTTTCCAATGAGGCTGTCTGTCTGGTTAGAACTGGTCTTCAGCAACCCATCCTTGTCGTAAGAGGCGACTAGGGGTTAGGATGGTCGGGCTTACAATCTTGGTTCAACCATGCCATCGTATGTCAATTGTGAAAATCGATGCTAATGATATCAATCACTGGATTGTCTGGTCCAGACTTGATTGTTTACGGACTGCTGTCACATGGCTGGAATATTGCCGAGTACAGTCTTTTGCAACAAACAAACAAACAACTAATGATGCTCTCAGAAAGTCGATTTGTACCACGGTCATATTTTTTTGTGAAGTTATTTCCTCTGTCTGCTCTTTATTCAAAGGCAAGTAGGTAATAGTGATGAATAGAGGCTAAAAAGTAACATTTCTGGTTCTCAGGCATGAATGGGTAATTCAGAAACAATCTTTTTGAGACGCATTTGTTCATATATATGAGACATTTACAATTTTATGATTCTTTGACAAAAGGTTTTTCACCCTGAAACCATATAAATATATCTCACATGAATGAATGGTGCATATCATCATTATTTTGTCATATGATAATATGAAGATGTATGAAATTTTATTTACCTTTGACCTTCATGTTCCTCCATGGCTGACAGAATAGCAATGTGAAAGCAATATAGTTTTGTTCTACTTCTTACATATTATATGTAGCAATGTGTAATTTAACATTTATCGTTGCTAAATACATGGTTAAGAACGTTTCCATACTTGCACTGTTGTGTAATTCTTTTAGGGCAACTGCAATGCCCATACTCTTCCAAGTATAGAGGGACTTTCAGGTGCACTCTTGGCCTCATTTTTCATTGCCTGAGAATCAGAGACTTATTTTATAGCCTAAGATTACTGACAAAGCGGACAGGTACTACTCAAAGATGTTGAAGAACACCCCTTACTTACTGTCATGGCTAGGTAGGCTGACTATAGTAATATGAAAGAATTGGCATTGTTTAAATAGTTCTGAGTGGTATACAATATACATTGTAGAAGTTCCATGAAACAGCCATGTTTTTCCAGAGAAGTGTACACATAATCAAAGGTAAAAGTAACTCTGATTTTACTGATAGCAGAAAATACAAGTGAAAACTCGAGATTGATGAACCTTCAGACTTTGAATACATGACACATTGTTCAGACAGACCATGGTAGCTGGTTACCATTTTTAAAGTGTTAAAGAAAATACAACATACTTCAGCATTTCTTTTAAATTAATGCACCTCTGCAATGATGAGTGGAAACTGGCAGACATTGGTCCATCATTTGGAGTTCTAAATTTAGAAATAATGTCATTCTTAAAATAATCTCTGAAAAGCATATGTTGCTATTTTCATTTAAAGTAGACACCAGTACTTTTAATTCTTAAAATAGGAAAACTTGAAACTTGAATTACCAGTACTCCTACATAGATATAAGCCAGCAACCCCTGAGAACAACCAGTCTTGAAACAGATTCCATGTGGCATAAAGGTTAATTGGAATCAGTGATTACACAGGTGTTCAGGAACATGATAAACATGTCACGATGTCATGAATATGACCATGGTGAGAGTTACTTTTACCTTTGAGTATATTTTGACCGAGTCATGACTTATGCTATAATTATAATTAATTTACTGTTATCCAGGGCAGTGTTTGTACAGCTGTATTCTGCATGCTGAAAGTCTACAGGAGACTATATGGATAAGACTTTGTTGTATAGTAGTGAAACGTACAACCTCTGAGAACTTTTCACAACTATTGAACAAAAAGAATGTGTTATTGCAGGTCGAAACTAAAACACTTAATTGGGAAGCTAAATCGAAAATCGGTTCCATGGACAATGCAAAACATGTTCCTGGAGGTGGTGAAAAGAAGGTAAGGGGGATAACTGTGTTTTTAACATGAACATGTTCAACCATTAACTTTTCAATATTTGCTTGATTTTCTTGATTCAGGCTTGCTGCATGTTCTTACTGCCATTTATTGAATATTGATATTGTTGGATTGAGTTAATGAAGCAAGCTTTAGGTAAGAGCCGTTCGTAGCTTTGCATGTGCATCATCAGTAGGATCTGCAGCAACAGCCTTGACAGGTCTTCAAAACATCACTTTCATTAACATTTCATTAAAGAAGCAGAAAATTCCAAATTGACATATTTTCATCCATTTTGTCCATTAACACCAAATGTAGCTGAGACTAAAACCTGATGTACTTCCCTGGTGAACTTACCTGCATCCCCGAGTTTGGTAGTGACCCGGTCTCCCACACCTAATCAAGGGAGATTCATTTCAGAGCTTGTTGCCTTGCCTGCATGTTGTTGCTTTGCTTTGCCAGATTGAGACTAAGAAACTTGGATGGAGAACAGAATCCCGTGTTGGCTCCTTGGATAATGCGAAGCATGTGGCAGGCGGTGGTGATAAAAAGGTGGGATAGTAGTTCACCTCTAACTTAGTGACGTTGTTGTCAGTCCTGAATAACAACCAGTCAGGCATTAACATCTGATGCAGAATCATGGAATTCTGTGGAATTCCCTGCAGACTGAAGGATTATGTGAGGAGCATCAGGGCGAGACAGCAAATCTGGTTTCAGTTGCAAAACATAAACATATCATCGTTTATCAAAAATGACAAGCTCCGGATCCCTGACATGTTTTGAATTATTTTCATTGTCTTTTCGTTAGAAGACTCCTAATTGTAATTGTGTGACTTGAGAAAATTACCGCCATCTACAAAGTATGGAGAATAATGATCACAGTTAACTTCATGTTTCGATAACACCAGTCAGGCTAAAACTTTACTGTGTTCGACCTTAGAAGGATGTCTGAAATACCTCAAGTCAGGAAATTTTAGTATTAGATGGTGTATAAACCTCTATATCTGTGGCTGTTGTAGCGCTCATGTTTTCATATTTTTCTATGAGTTTTTTCACATGAGATATATTTCACTATTAAAATGTTTTTGAGACAGCACAGAAGATTCTACATTAAATTCAGCAAAATATTTGGAGCTCTGTCATATTTATATATTCATTTATTTTTGTATTTCCTAATATTTTCGATCTAATAGATAAATGGATGGGAACTTTCTGTACATTTAGGCCTGTTTGTATGAAAAAACTTTGCTGTTGAACTAGCATCCCAGAGTTTAGTGTTAGCGCCATGGTCTCCCACACCTAATTACGGAAACCTCTTCTCACAGCTTGTTGCCTTGCCTGCATGTTGTTGCTTTGCTTTGCCAGATTGAGACTAAGAAACTTGAATGGAGAACAGAATCCCGTGTTGGCTCCATGGATAATGCGAAGCTACGTGGCAGGCGGTGGTGATAAAAAGGTGGGATAGTAGTTCACCTCGAACTTAGTGACGTTGTTGTCAGTCCTGAATAACAACCAGTCAGGCATTAACATCTGATGCAGAATCATGGAATTCTGTCTAATTCCGTGGAATTCCCTGCAGACTGAAGGATCATGCAGGGAGCCTCAGGACAAGGCGTCAGTTGTGTTTTCTGTTGTTAAACATGTCATACAAAGTAGAGACAATATATGGATAACAAATTCTTTAATGTACCAATGTAGCATTTTAATGTAGTCTTTTCTCCGTATTGTGTAATCATACTAAAAGATAGTCAAGTCACTCAGAATAGTAAAATGATCTTTACTAAAACCTTGCAACATTTAAAAGTATATTAAAGAAAATGTGATCCATTACGTGTGCTATCTTTGTTACCTGCAAATCAAAGAACAGATGATCAAACAAAATCGTAAACATATTATGACTATTCTCATAAATATTTGGGGTCTGTTTGAGACGTTTTTGAACTATACAGAGACACCTTAGCATCATGAGACATCTTAACAGTATGAGACATCTTGAACTATACAGAGACACCTTAGCATCATGAGACATCTTAATATTATGAGACATCTTGACATTATGAGACATCTTGACATTATGAGACATCTTGACATTATGAGACATCTTGACATTATGAGACATCTTGACATTATGAGACATCTTGACATTATGAGACATCTTGACATTATGAGACATCTTGACATTATGAGACATCTTGACATTATGAGACATCTTAACATTATGAGACATTATGAGACATCTTGATATTATGAGACATCTTGACATTATGAGTCATCTTGACATTATGAGACTTCTTATGAGACATCTTGACATTATGAGACATCTTGACATTATGAGACATCTTAACATTATGAGACATCTTAACAGTCTTGACATTATGAGACATCTTAACATTATGAGACATCTTAACATTATGAGACATCTTGACATTATGAGACATCTTGACATTATGAGATCATCTTGACATTATGAGACATCTTGACAGTATGAGACATCTTGACATTATGAGACATCTTGACATTATGAGACATCTTGACAGTATGAGACATCTTGACATTATGAGACATCTTGACATTATGAGACATCTTGACCACTTTGACAGTCATGACTGTCATGTTTTTGACTCATGTCCATAATTTCAATTCTGACATTGATCTGAGGAAAATAGAAACACTACAATGGTCTTAAGCTGTATACAGGTACACCTTGTTAAACCAGACTGAATACTTACTGTTTTTGTGAACCACATCAATACATTTTTGGATTAATGAACTTAATGGTATGTTTGATTATTAACACATTCCTGCTTTGTCATTGTGTGGGATATCGAAACCGGGTCTTTGGTGTGATGAGCAATTGCTTCAACCACTAGGCTACCATTGTGCCTATAGTTGGGAGTGGTGTACAGATCTCCATCACTTTGTGTGGTAAAACAATGTGAAGGCTTAGTCAGATGAGATGAGTGTTAGTAAGACTCTATGTTAGACAGTTTAGAAGAATCTATTTTCAGTTAAGCAGAACATTGAGAGCATTTCAAGACATTTGTATTTTATATGATTCCATACAAAATTACATATCTATTTTTTTAAATTCTAAAGTCTAAAAGTTAAATAAATGGGGAAGTTCTGTACAATTAATCATATTTCTAATGACACAAAAACCTGATGTTTTTCCCTGATGATCTCGCCTGCATCCCTGAGTTTGGTAGTGACCCGGTCTCCCACACCTAACCATGGGAAACCTCTTCTCACAGCTTGTTGCCTTGCCTGCATGTTGTTGCTTTGCTTTGCCAGATTGAGACTAAGAAACTTGAATGGAGAACAGAATCCCGTGTTGGCTCCATGGATAATGCGAAGCACGTGGCAGGCGGTGGTGATAAAAAGGTGGGATAGTAGTTCACCTCTAAGTTAGTGACGTAGTTGTCAAGACTATATATAATCTTTAAGCATCATGAGCATCATATCGTCTTACTAAAGGCCAGATCCACATGGAGATGTAAGTGCTATGCTTGTTGTAAGTTGGGTCTGTTGAGAGAGAAGGTTATTATAACATGATCGAGTCAGAGAGTTTTGTTTAGGCCAGACCAAATATATTTCTTGTTTTACGGATCCACCAGTCATATTTTTTCAAGAATAGGAATAAAAAATAGAAATTAATTTTCCCTGCTCAAAAAATATAATGGTAATGTTTATATTAAATGTAAACTTATTAAAAAAAATATTTTTGGTTTTTGTTTTTTGCCCCATGTAGACTTCATAAATTGCCAAAAGTAAAATGCTTTTGGTATTTAAAAGGAATATTACTTTGACTGGTGATTTTTATTGTTTTTATTTTTCCCCTCCTGCCTTTAGGTTTTCTCAGGACAAAAATCCATAAAACAAGAAATAAGATTGGTCTGGCCTTAACACTGTATTTCTAGCTCATGCTCATAACTTTCTGGCAAACCTACAGAATGACCATGAGAAACCTTCCAGAAAAGATACTCATTATTCCTTCTTAATTTCCAAATGTATTTATAATGTCCAGCAGCAGCAGCAGTAGCACTTACAACACCTTGTAGAAATGGCCGGGAAATCATATTCTTGAATGTCTACCTTTTCTAACCTCATCCCAAAAGCTGATTGATAACTTACATTCCATAACCGTTTGCCTCCTCATAATGACATCATTAACCATCACCTCTCTATTGCTGCTGTTATTCATACTAACATCAACAGCCAGGAGATTGTCTCCGTCATGAGTTATCAGAGGCCAGGCTTACTGTCATGCTTGCATAGTGGTGCTTTGCTTTGCCAGATTGAGACTAAGAAACTCGATTGGAAAGTGGAGTCTCGAGTTGGCTCCATGGATAATGCCAAACATGTAGCAGGCGGTGGCGATGTAAAGGTGGGAAGATGTGGTCTTGTGTACATGTGAACCTCCCTACACACACAGCCCATGGCAGATACACCAATATTTGGCAACAATGACAGAGTTATCTCCCTTAACATGATCTCTGTATTGAGTTATCTCCCTTCCATTGATCTCGGAACAGAATAAACAAATACATATCAAATTGGAAAGATGCCCAAAGCATAGTGAGTTTAAATATGCCAATGGCAGTATATGAATGAATTTGCTTTTTCTTTGAATTCTGGGGAGGAAGCTTTGTAATGCCCTTGACATTTGGGAGGGAAGCCGTGTGAAACTGATTGGTGTACTCAGTGGGCGGTGTTGGTGAAGCTGGAGGCGGCATCCATGTTGTGACAGGCATGATTTTTAAGAATGCCCGATTTGTCTTCTGTTGTAACAGCAGAGTACAAGAACCATGTGTGTTCGGATACTCGATTCCTTCATTTTAAAAAAGGTGTCAGGTGTTGGTCTTCAAATCCAGATCTATTTCATTAGATCTCATGGTACAAAAATCATCATTTTCTGTGTGTTGCAGAATAACTGAAAATGATCTTTTTGTGTTCATTTCTCCCATGTTAAGATTGAAAGCCACACAATAGAGTGGAGATCTGAGTCAAAAGTCGGGTCACTTGACAATGCTCACCACACTCCAGGCGGGGGAGAAAAGAAGGTAACGGTTTGTCGCCATGGTAACCAACACATCATGATCATGTGATCACTTTGTTTGATATGTTTGTTTCACTGTTATGTTTTTACTTACTGTATATGTTCTAGAGGAGAGTTTATGTCTGTTTTTATCTCATTTGTCATGTGATAGACCCAGTCTCTCTGTCTATATCTCACCATCATCTCAGTTTCTAGACACATCTTTTTGCTTTTTGTCCAAACATATTAAATATATTTCTACTATATTTTATATTATTCAAAATCATAATCATCACATTATTCATTAACAAAATAATACTACCAACATTTTTCTTTAAAAGATTAAGCAATTGAAAACTGGAATAAAAATTAAATGTGATATCACTTGGTGTGAAGTGTTAATACTTAGAAGCTAAAGGGAGGTAACTCTCGGAGGTTTAGGTGTTTATCAAGTACATGTGAAGTGTCAAAGAAGTGGTGTGTTGTTGACACTTCAGTTGGCACAGTGGTCAGGTGTACAAGTGTCTTCAACATCTGGTATAGACTCCACTGTATGCAATGGAGTTTGGAAATATACAAACATTTTATTAGAAGTTTTTCTCTTTGGAAAAATCACCTATCAGAATGGAAAAAACATTCAGAGTTTTCAAGATGTTTCCTTTTGAGCAGCATATTGTGAACATCCTGTTTTTCTTCTAAAGAACTAGTTGAAGAAAACAGTTATTTAGCTGAACATGTTACAAACTTTATTAAATAAGTTTTCAAAAGATTATCATTAGCAAATGTGCTGTGCATTTATAAGATAGGCTTCAGATGAACTTTCTAAAAGAGGAAATTATGTAGCATTTGCTTCTTTTTTAATATAAATGCAGTAAATTAGTTTCTGTTATTAGTTTCCAGCATGTATTAGTTTGTTTCCTGAAAACATTACATTTCTTTTTCAAAACATCACAACTGTTGTTACTAGTGGATGTAAATCCTCAGACAGTAGGTCGTACATATGCCTGTACTTATTGGGATGTATAGCGATGCATGTCATATTCATATATATTAAATAACAGTGTATCTATTTTTTTAACTTTTTAAATGGAAATACTTAAATACTATTTGATCTGGTAATTTTTCATTGAAGTAACATGATGTTTCAAATCAAATATCAGAGTCTTTTAATTTTTTATGATAATGATGTACATTTTCAAATATTACAATTATTACTTTTCAATTCAATTCAGTTATTTAATTCTGAATATCAAAGTATTTTATTAATTAATCTTTATATTTTACAAAGTATCCTTAAGGAGTTATTTCCTGGTATTTCCTGAGCGTGTGTATATATATATATATATCTTGTGTACCTGGTATATAGTTCTCATTTATCGTGTGACTGCATGTCAAGTGCTTGTTCAGCGTCTAATACAGTCTGTGTGCTCACTAACTTTGTGTTAATATCTCATAAAGTTCAAAGACATCTATGATTCTCTAATTCAAATAAAATAAAATTCCCTGAGTTAACAACGCTAAGCTACAACTGACATTGTCAGATTTGTATTTGGTTAAATTAGTTATTTTGATTTCTAGCATTTTTATAAGATTCATTTAATTCATTGCAAATTAATTCTTTGGCTGATTTGTTTCTATTAAGTTGAAATGTGCAATGCTAACAGAAATGCTTTTTCTTTTGTTTTTCACAAACAAAACTTGATAATCGAACATGTTTTCTTCAAAATGTTCTTTATTCTTTTGAATAATAACACCTAGATAGATAATTATTTCTCCCAGTTTTCTTACAGTATTTATCTCCCTTTGTTCCCATGCTAGATAGTTTCTGAAAAACTGGATTGGAAAGCCAATTCATCACTGGGTTCGCTGGAAAATGCAAAGCATTCGCCAGGAGGTGGCAAAGTGAAAGTAATGTTGCATCCGCCATGTTGTATGTATATACTGCTGTCTGCCTCACCATGTGCACACTGAATAGCTGTCACAAACTGTCTTCCGCATTAGAATTTCTAAAATTTCATTATTTTGAAAATACACTTTTTTGTTATATTTCCATTCAACATTTAAAAATATATATATATTTTTAATTTTGCTCTTTTGAGCAATTTATACAGTAAAATTACAGGTTTTAAAATACTCAAATGCACCTATAGTTTGTGTTTGTAATAATTGTATTAAATTACATGTATTTCCACAGCAGTTTCCAGCAAGTGACCTGGGCCTATATTTTCGAAGCTCTTTTAGCTCTAAGATAGTCATAAGTTAATGTTAATGTATGGCACTTACGACTATCTTAGCGCTAAGAGAGCTTCGAAAATCTAGGCCCTGGACATTACATTATACCGGTTACTGTCAGTTTACTATAAGTATGTTTGTAATAAACAAAGTTTACTGTATTATATATACATTTGTATCTCAAAAATATTATCTTTACTTTTTGAATGATAATTTATCATTTTGATTGAAAAATGGAGAATAAATTTCAAAATTGGGGAGACGAAACATCTATTTAGTCACTGCACAGTATAGAGAGGTGAATGGATTAAAGAAGGTAAGGTAATGTTTGAGCTCCAGAGTGTGCAAGGAAGTGCTCGGGTGTGTGCCCTGTTGCGAGGCTAGTAGAAACTGATGTGGAGAAATAGAAATAGTAACAAATCCACAGGATTCTGTAAACACAATATTTAAAGTATTTTAGAATCAGATGGTGTTGTCTCTAAAATTGATTGATGAACACATAAAATATACTTCACACTAACAGTCTAGTTGTGATGACGTAATGTGTTTGTGAAATTAAATAATTGTAACGGACCTGAACGAATTTTGAAAACATTGTTAAACAAACTGATTCTGTGAAGATTTACTTTAAGTCTTTGGTATATTCTGCTTTTCTGTCGTCTTTGCTGATCCTGGCACTATTTCTGACTTCTGTTAAAGCAGAACTGATTTCCGTTGCTTCAAAAGATGAACCATCTTGATGAAATTTGAAATTAACAAATTTCAACAAATAACATCCTTGGACATCTTAGATTATCTGGACCTGTTGGACATGGTACTGAGGAAAAGGAGAAGAAATGTGTCCTTAGATACTGTTTGACAAGGAGGTCATGCCCTACACGAGGCATCTACTGCAGCCTCTTGTCTAACATCCTTTTCATTTGTTTCGTAGATTGTTAATGAGAAAGTAGAATTCAAGGCTGAGTCAAAGGTGGGATCGCTGAAGAACGTGAAACACTCACCAGGAGGGGGCGAGAAAGTGGTATGTAAAATTATTTCTATAAAGTGACTAGTTTGTTGTTCTTACCACAGGTAGCAACATTTCAGCTATATCACGGTGTCCTTTGTTTTGTCAGACATACCTGTGATCGATATTATGAGGAACATCATATTCTGTTGGGGTACAATGACACACAAGCATCCAGGCCTGACTAACCAGTCAAAACACTGGCCTCAAATTACAATCAATATTCCATCATGGTCCCCACAGTTATAGAATGAGTGAGTGAGCAAGTGAGGCTTTATACATTATAAAATTAATATCACTTGAGCCTAATGTAATTATTCACAAGTGTACATGGATGTGAGTTTTATTAAATGTAGTAAAAAATTTATATGCCTACTTGTCAGAGGCAGGATGTTAACATGACATATACAGGAGCAATATTGATTACCTTTGCAGCAAGAAATTATGGACATTAATATAAGAATATTTTTCGCGACATAGTTCAATTGTTCATTTATCAAGTACGGACTGACCCGTGAAGATCCGGGGTAGAATAGGTCTTCAGCAACCCATTCTTGTCATAAAAGGCGACTATGCTTGTCCTAAAAGGCGACTAACGGGGATCGGGTGGTCTGGCTCGCTGACTTGGTTGACACACATCATCGGTTCCCAATTGTGCAGATCGATGCTCATGCTGTTGATCACTGGATTGTCTGGTCCAGACTCGATTATTTACAGACCGCTGCCATATAGCTGGAATATTGCTGAGTGTGGCGTAAAACTCAACTCACTCACTCACTCACTCACTCACTCAAGTACGGACTACGCAACTGTTGACAATTTAGTTATGAACTGTGAAGTGAAAACAAGTACACAACTGAAAATTGACTTTTGACCGAAATGGGCCCTTGTATAATAATGTGATCAAAACCAAACTTGGTTGAAAACAGTCGTTAAAACACTGCAAAGTTAATGTCAAACACAGAGGTATGATACCCTTATCAAATACATTACTATTGCAACTATTGCAACTAACTACACCACGACTAACCCCTATGTAGCATCACTAGCAATGTTTGGCTGATTCAAAATTGACATCATGACATAATTAGGCCTTAAAACTGTGTGTGTGCCTTTATTTACTGGTACATGTTCTTGACATGATTGAGTAAGCTGTGGTCTATTTTTGTTACACAGGAATATCTCCTCTTCTCCTAAGTAATCTCTATCCTAGCAAATAGTCCCCTATGATCCACCCTGTATCAAACACTTATTACAACATAGATTATTTGTCACATAAATTATACACCTGGTATTGAGTCTTTTGTTTGGATCAGCAAGTCAAGAATGCAAACAATCTGTACCTAATATGGTCATTACAAGAGAGACATTTATGGTGCTGGAGAATGTATATGTTCCATGTACCATACATCTAGAGTACAGATATATTGTTGGCCATAAACAATACTTGTTGCTGTATAGGGTATCTGTCGTTGCCTACACACAATACACTTCATGTGGAGGTTTCTGTGTCGTGCTTAACTTTCACTTGAACTGGAGTGACAGGTTGAAGGGTATTTAGTCATAAATTTGTTTATTACCCATATGGTGAAACATAACCAGTGTCATAAATATCATATGTGCACATGTTACTTTTGCCTTACAACCATTGTTTCTGTGTTTCGTCGTTCTGTGACGTCATTAAACAACTGAACGTGACGTCAATGAACTGGGCAGTCACACTTGCTTACCGTGTTTTACTGCACAAATGTACATGAATGAAATGGATAATAAAGAAATTATTACACTTGCAAGTGTGCTACACGACTTATACGAAACTCGTGCCAAATTTTGTATTGCCCGAGCGAGACACTCGTTTCGTATAAGTCGTATGACACACTTGCTCGTGTAATAATCTCTGTATATGTTTTGGCGGAAGTATTGTTTCAAATTTGAATGAGTGAGTGAGGCTTTATGCATTATATAATTAATATCATAGTGGTTGGCACCAGAAATAGACTCGGGGTGGTGGGGTAGCCTAGTGGTTAAAGCGTTCGCTCGTCACGCCAAAGGCCCAGGTTCGATTCCCCACATGGGTACAACTTGTGAAGCCCATTTCTGGTGTCCCCCCTCCGTGATATTGCTGGAATATTGCTAAAAACGGCCCAAAACCATACTCAGCCAGCCAGCAGAAATAGACTCAATACATTTTACCCTTATTTGTCATGATGAGCAATCACATTAACCACTGGGATACCTAACCACGCCTTCTAGAATCAATATTAGAATACTGATGTGACATAGATAAATGTTGCATTATATATAAAGGAATCCCTTCCTCTGTTTAAGGACTGGTTTTTTTTAGGGTTTTAGTAGGAATAAACAGAGAGACAGCATGAGACAAAGTACAGACTTTGGAAAGAATTACACAGTGGGAGAGGCAGGATGAAATGTTAGTCATTTACTTTTGAATTTTTCCAGTAACTGTTTGACTTGCTTGATAGGAAAAACACACTGGAATCATACTGAGGTTCACAAAGAAATGGAAAAGCATTTATGGAACAGGCTAGCAATTCTCGAAACGTTCGTAGCCTTACGAACTTCTTAAGCCCATTCTTAACACATTGGCTACGATCAAAGTTAAGAATTCTTAGAGCTACGAATGTTTCGAGAATAAGGGCCCAGGGTCTTTAGAAATATGCATATTTAGGTTAATAACACAACTGGATTATTAAGCCTCTTTCATGATGACCAGTCCCTTTTATGGCAATGTGTAAGACGATCTGAACTATGAGAAGTCAGTATAGTGACAATATCTCCTACAGTATGCCTGTACTGGGGTATTGATCTGGTGGTTGTTCTCCTCTATATCTCCCCAGATGAAACGCTGATGATCTAATCAGTATGCAGGTGCTTACAGGAGAGATATTGACGTGTGTTAATTACGCCTGACAAATATATCTGAACACGATATGGGCCGATAGTATTCTTATAGAGTAGTCAGTGCACAGAATACTATTGCTTTGCTGAGAATGTGTACTTTTGGACATAGCAATACAGCGTGAAGTTTAGTTGGCAATTGAGCAATGGCAGAGATTTACCGTATTTGAAATGTTTTTAGATTTTTAGATTTTGATCCTAGTTTTTATAAAATTTATGTTTAAGATTGTGAGGGTAATGATTCTGTGAATATTGATTTTCTAAAGATTGCATTATGAGTAAATAGGATGCCTTTTCTGCCACTTTTAGCAATATACTATGAATATGAAGAAAAATAGGACAAAGATACCTGTCATGGTTTAGGAAAATATATTTAGGAAGTTAATGGTTAGATATTGCATACTTTTAATTGAACTCCTTGTTCTTCATTAGAGATTCTTCACCTGGATAGAAGAAAAAGAATGAATTCTAAGGAATATATTCCAGGTTTGAAAGTCCAAGCTAATTACATTAGGCTTAATATATCGCAAGTGTACATGGATGTCAGCTTTATTAAATGTAGTTAGTACATTTTTGTGTAGATTCTTGTAGCTTTTTCCAGTGTACTTGTTTGACAAAGAAGGTGTATGGATCTTAACTGATATGAGTGAGTGAGTATTTCTTAACACTGCATCAGCAATTTTGCAGCTATTGAATGCGATTTAACTGAACAACCTTGCCCCGAAAGCCATTCGCTTAGCCAGGCTAAAGAAACTATACTGGCATGTTTAATGGTAGCTAACATGAAACAAACAAATAAACAACACATTGGTTTTCAATATTAATATACTTGATAAGGAAATTATACATCTGTGTTTGACATTAACTTTGCAGTGTTTTGATGACTGTTTTCAACCAAGTTTGGTTTTGATCACATTGTTATACAGGGGGCCATTTAGGTCAAATTCAATTTTCAATTGTGCACTTGTTTTCACTTTATATCTAAAGTGGCGACAGTTGCTTAGAATGTACTTGATAAATGAGAAACCTACCAGTGAACTATGTTGCGAAAACTAATATTATATAATGTCCATAATTTCTTGGTGCATAGGTAATCAATATTTCTCCTGTATATGTCATGTTGATATCCCTGCCTCTGACAAGTAGGCATATAAAATTCCAAGCCTGACTCTAATCACTAATCAGCTTATCAATCACCATGATCATTGTGCTCCCAGCGACCAGGGTCGCCTTCAGCAGGTGGAGGGCTGTACTTGTTCGCATGCAACTGCAAATGTTTTATTGTGATCTGCAGTCAGATTTTTATCAGGGAATTAAAGTTGTAAGGCACAAAATATCCGCTCCACAGTTACAGGAGGTCTCATTGTGGCTCAGCTTGCAGTCATTGCTACACTGGGGGGTCTATGTGATGTGATATATGTTGTAGACCAACTGTCATCATACAATGGATGTATTGTCTGTGATTAAAATACCGACCACTGACCATCTGAGACAAGCCTTTTTTGTCTTGGAGGGTTGGGACGGTGGGGTAGCCAAGTGGTTAAAAGAGTTTGCTCGTCACACCGAAGACTGGGGTTCAATTCCCCACATTGGTACAGTGTTTGAACCCATTTCTGGTGTACACTGCTGGAATATTGCTAAAAGTGGCGTTAAACTAAATTCACTCACTCACTCTTGGAAGGTCAACATTTAAAACATTTGTAACTTTTGAAACATGTCCTGTGGTGTGGCTGAGTATTTAATAGACGTAACAAAAACTTGGCACAGATAACAAACCCTTTGAAATAAACATAAAATACATAATGTGGCTAAAAGGATTGGCAGGATTTCACTTTGAACATATGTTGGATCGTGGATTAAATTTCTCTGTACACTGTTTTGTTAAAGGATATACAAAACTATTATATTGTGTGTGTGTGTGTGTGTGTGTGTGTGAGAGAGAGAGAGAGAGAGTGTGTTACAAATTTATAACACATAAAACATGAAACAGATGGGGTAACAACGATAAAAAATGTTTCAGTTTCATTGATGTTTGAACTGTTTATTGATGTCCCAATATCAATGTAACTCATTCTCTCTGGCTTTAATAAGTGTCCCCCATATCAACTGCCTACACACCCAAGCAACAGATTAAGGCTTGGGTGTAGCCAAAATGTTGAGAAAAGCAAACACCCTGCCCGCAACCATTCTTCATTCCCCAACACCCTAACACATATAGTTTCAGGAATAGATATCAAAGCTACATGAGTATGTACCAATCTGTTATGTGATCTATAGTTGGAGGATCGGGGGTCCTCATGGTAGCCATAATGGATCAGTTTATATGTAACTGTATCATTTCTGTTATGGCTTGTCTTACCTGACAGCAAAAGCCCTGAGTACACCCAGGATAACTTGGCTATGTCTATTATTAACTTGATAACCATCAGTTGCTACTCCAGGATGCAATAAACACACCTGTTTACTCCATATGATCTTTACTTAGCAGGAGAGACAGTGAAATCCTGGTTGTATTGATGTTGACTGACTGACTGAGTTTGGTTTTACGCCGCTGTTAGCAATATTCCAGCAACATCACGGAGGGGGACACCAGAAATGGGCTTCACACATTGTACCCATGTGGGGATTGGAACCCGGGTCTTCGGCGTGACGAGCCAACGCTTTAACCACTAGGCTACCCCACTGCCCCGTTTTGATGTTGAGTATGTTGCTGAAATTCTTCAAAGGCATTTAGCATATAGCAATATGTTGCTGTATTGAATGATGTTATTTTGGTAATGAGAGTATTTCTGGTTGTGTCATGGCGTTTTGAGTGTAGATCCGCTTTAAGTGAGTGAGTAAGTATGGTTTTACGCTGCCTTTAGCAATATTCCAGCAATATCACGGCAATGGACACCAGAAATGGGCTTCACACATTGTAGCTATGTTGGGAATCGAACCTGGGTCTTCGTCGTGACGAGCAGACGCTTTAGCCACTAGGCTACCCCACCTCCCCTCAGCTTTAAGGCATTTAAGTTGTTAGATTGTATTTTGACAGGATAAGACAACACTCTGTTATTGTAAGAAAATTTATTTGCTGCTCTATGATAGAAGTAAAACTATATCAAATTATATAAATATTATAATATAATATTTTGGTGGAGGCTGAATACATCATATCCTGAAAATATCACAAAAGAATAGTCATATCTCAAATTTATTTGGTTCAGTACAGTAAATATTGGTTCAAAATATTAAGGAACAATCTGTTTCAGTTGGAATTAACAACTGACAAATTTTCTTAAGGTTATATTCAAGTCAAAGCCTCACCATTTTTTAGCTTGCCTTATTACATTGGCCCAAATTTTTCAATAATAAAAAGATGTTAAATAAGACTTTTTGATTGAAAATATAAATTTTTGTTTGTACTTTTAAAACTTGTTTGACCTCCTCTGTCATAAAGTAGACAGATTCAATGCCCTATTCAAGATTGTACATTGCTATAATGAAGATCTAGGGTATATATTTATGTCAATAAGTATATACCAAGCAATAATGCTGATGTGAGTTAATTCTTTACTCTTAGGTGTTCTTTGAAACTCTTGAATTACATGTACTGTTTAGTGGAAGTAATTTTTTAAACCTACCTTGATAATTACAGTGTATGTAGATCGCAGGCTGATAAGTAATCGTTCCTTGATTATGACCCCAGCGAACTGGGACATTAAGCCTTAAGCTGCTGGCGATTTGTTCAAATGTTCATTGTGTGACAACCAGAGTATGAAAGTGGAGAAGTCATGATCAGGGTCAGAGATTGCGAAAACGACATGTGAAGACAAGAATGAATGAATCTATCTTCCGCTTTCTTAAGATACCAGATTATCAATGATCTTTTCATATCTTATGTTGGATCTGCATGAAATATATGATCTGAAATATTTGGTCAGGGTGCTTGGTATAATAGATATGACAAAGCCTGTCATAGCTTTCAACAGAACCTTTCTCACCTCTTTGTGTTAATGTTCTAGATTTGACCTGGAGACACATTTACTCATGAGTAGGAGCATAGGTCTTTCAATGAATATATAAACGTGTAAGAAGAGGTTTAACATAGGGAGATATAAATGCAGAAAGGGAGACAAATGTAGACAATGGTAAATATATTAAGGTAGATATAGGCATGAGGTATTGTTTGTACAGTGACTCTCCACACCCAGTAGCTGTCAAATAGTTACCAGAGTCTTGGATACCAATGAATGACTGTAGTAAATAACTCTCTTTTGTTAGCCATTTAATGGAGGCCCGGTCTGTCAAGAGGCAAATGTTTGAGTTTGATAATGAAATCAAAATGCCATTCAAGTGAACAAAATAGGTATTATATTGTACGACATGATGTATAGGGTGTATATCTCTAATCACTGTTTGCCTAGCTGTAATAGGTTGGCAAATACTCCACTCAGACAGTTAGTGTACCATTTCTCTGACGTTAACCCCTATTCATTGTGGGTCAGGCTCGATTGAAAGTTTTCAGATAAGGGCACTTTAAATGAACTAAGTTTTCTCACAGCTGGATCAGTTAGGTTTACAAGAAGCGTTACGTAGGGCAGGAGATTACCGAAAAGGCTCTTTTGTATTTTAATCTTATTGATTATGGGATCCTGTGGAGCCAGAAGGGGAACTGAGGCAGAGAGTGACTTAACGACACAGATTTGCCGGATCTGATACATGCATGGCTGAGCAGGAGATTGGTTTGAGCAGACACTCAGTAGCAGACGTCAGTTGACCAAAGAAGCAGACGTGACTTGACCATACCAGCAGACGCGGAAGGCTCAGAGACGTCACTCCTTGTTGTGAGTGGTGAAGTGAGGGTCAGATATTACAGGACCACTGTGAGTCGAACACTGTCAGTTAAACTTTGATGTTTGAGGCCATCTTCAGGACACAGCTCCAAAGAGTTTCTGTGGGACTGACATGTTGTCTTCCTTTTGCCATCGTCACTTGCGGAATATGTTGATTTTGTCAAGGTGTTACATTTGTTAAAAATGTTTTAGGCAGGTTTTTACAATCAGCCTAGTCTTAGCAAACATGGACATTTACCTCATTTATAGTCCTTTTGATTCTCTGGACATCAAAGTAAACAGATTTCAAGAAATTCTAATATGGAAGATGCTACGTGATGCAAGAATGTCATTGCTGTGTTACTCTAACAAAAGGAAGGATGTCAACGATTGCTGAAACTTATGGTGGCGACTATTACATGGATACTTCATGTTCTTGATGCTGCTTTTTGAAGGGACATTATAGTGCTTCATCATGACAAAGAGACCATTACGTGTCATTCCTTTGGTCTCTGATTCAGAGAGCCAGTGGAAGTTTGGCCCAGTGCGAAAGAGTGACTATTTATCAGAAGGGGAATCCTCTAAGAATGGTACAGTTCCCTATGTGTCTGTCAAGCGACGAAGTGATGGGAAATATGTTGTGGTAGAGAAATACCCAAGGAAGTTAAAACCAGTGAGTAAGCTTAACTCCCATAATGCGCCACTTGCTCACATGGACTATTCATCAGAAGTGAAATTCCGATCCATTAAACCAGACTGGAAGTACTCACAACGCCATAGAGTGCTTGGGGACCATGATAATAGCAGTCTTCTGCCTCCCATAGACCTCGGGTGGACATCAGATTCAAAGATTGGATCCTTGGACAACATTGAGCATACGCCAAGAGGAGGTGATAAACAGATCGTCAGTCATAGACTTAAATGGGAGGCCAAAGCAAAGATAGGATCCCTGGACAATATTGACTTTGCACAGAGGACAGGAAGAAGCCTTAGTGATCCCACAAGTAGTCGTAAACTTGAACCACTAGAAAAAACTCCACGAAAACTCCATGTCAGACCTCGGTATGGAGCTATTGGAGATGCAGGAGCTTTCGGAAACAAACACTACACACCAGGTGGCTCTGAGGTCGTGCGGCCATCAGAGAGCTATAATCATGTTAAATCAAAAGTCGGATCCTTAGATAATATTGAGCACCAGCCCCTCGGTGGGGATGTGAGAGTCCCTTCATACCACAACAACTGGCAAGCAGAGTCTCAAATAAGATCCCTGGAGAATCTTCACCACAAGCCAGGTGGTGGCGATGTCATTTTCCTACAGGAGAAGCTTCATTGGAACTCTGGGCCCAAGGTGGGTTCCCTGGAGAACATCGACCACAGCCCTGGTGGGGGTCACAAGAAGATCTTCAATATGAAGCTGAACTGGCAGTCAGGAGCCAAGGTTGGCTCCCTGAGGAACATACATCATGTTCCAGGGGGTGGGATGGTGAACATGCCTGATCATCCACTCCGATGGAAGTCAAAAGCTAAGGTGGACAATAAACCAAAGAAGAAGAAAAGGGTTTCAGAACTACACTTGTCATTTGATTCTTTAGATTCCTACGAGTGTGAGTATCTTGACATAGTAACTGGTAGAGCCACACTGTGATAGTCCTAGTCCTCACCTTAGAAATGTAGACTAGCAATCTGGATACTCTTTCCTGTACATCTTCAGCTTCTTCAGTTGAAATGATTACAGGTATTTTCTGCCAAGATCACAGAATATTCCTCTGCTATACACAAAGATTCTATGTCAATGCACATCTATACCAATGTTATTTTGTGTTTTGTTGGTTTCTAACTTAATGTCTGTAAGTATAGAGGATTCAGTCAGTTCAAAGATTACAATTTCAAACAAATCAAACTCCATAGGCTTAAAAACAATGTTTCAAGAGACTAGTTATTCAAAGTTATATCACCGTTTAGGATATATATTTAGGTCTGATCTATTTCCATTTCATCGATGAAATATTCTCAAAAATGGTTTATAAAAAGAACTTTGTGTGGGAATAATAGTGAGTTGGATTTCAATGTCAGAGGTTGCAAACTGTCAAAGTCGTCCATATTACTTGTTGGAACAGGGTAAGATGGATTCATACTACCTTTGAAACTTTAGAGTACATATTTTTATGCACTGGCTATTAACCAATCAAAAGTTGAATTAATCTCTTAATTTATGAAGGTAATAAGCACTAATCTTTAGCAGATTTTCATGCAAACAGATACAGACATCAACTGAGGGTAGGAATGTATTAAAATATGTATGAAATGTCATCACCAGAGAATAAGCAGTTTAAGTTATCAGAAAATACAGATTCCATTGTGCAAAAATGAATATGACTTGATCACTGAAAATCTGCGATGACACTAGATGAAGGAAAGAAGTGTTGATGCTTAGGTGTTTCACATCATCGTCCTCTAGCCATATGTATAATTGTCATTCACTTCTATAGCTGGGTCTAGCTCAAGACCACTGTGTAGATTGTATCCATTATACATTCAAGCTCTTTAACTTGTGTAAGAAATAGGACTCTTTGTGTGTGTTTTCACAATAATATGCATATGCTAATGTTTATTTGTTAATAAATAGATGCATAGTTTTGCTAGTTTCTCATCTTTCATGCAAATTAGCAGTCTCTGTAAAGGATCAAATCCTGGATATGTCCAGTTATGACTGACTGACCGAATTATTTTTTACGCCGCTTTTAGCAATATTCCAGCAACATCACGGCGGGGGACACCAGAAATGGGCTTTACAAATTGAACCCATGTGGGGTTTCGAACCCGGGTCTTCGGCGTGACAAGCCAACGCTTTAACCACTAGGCTACCCCTACGCCTGCCAGCTGTGATCCATGGCTTGTTACCACCATGCTCCATGGTCCATTGTACCAACATGTCCACAGAAAACATTCTACAACTTTGTATCACTTTTGTCTTTCCTCCCCATCACAACTGACATAACACTGGAATACGGTACTGTAAACAGAAACAATCAAACATCTTTCGCTTTCATACTGAAATTTGTGATATCCTTGAAATCTTTCCAAAAGATTGTGTTCATGATATTGCATTGTCAATAATGATAGTATAATTTCTCAGGTACATACTTGCTATTACTGATAAGGCCATTTCTGCCTATTTTGAAACCATTCAGTGAAACATTTCATTCCAACATTCATCAACAGGGACTTTAATATTAGTATGTAATTGTATTTAAATGAATTACAGTATAACACTATATTTAATCAGATCTTCTAACCACAATGATGTTGGTATGTGTTTGCACACACACACACACATACACACCTATATACATACATGCACACACCCACAGATTTTATACACACACGTTATCATTATAAACTTTAGCATTGACATATACCATATGGTGAATGGGGTACATGTATTTTATAATGACATCCTGTATATATCAAATTATGATTAGCTTAATATGTAGGTGAGGTGAGGTGAAATTGGGTTTAACGTCGTGCTTGACAATATTTCGCTCATATGACGACGTGCATGCGTGTGTATGTGTATGTGCGGCTGCTTGTACTAGCCCAGCCTTAAGCTGGTTTTATAGTACTAGCCCACTGAGATACCATGTCGCAGTGAAGCATGAATACCCCACTCAGACACATTATACTGACTCCGAGCCGACCAGTCCTTGTACCCATTAATGCCAAGCACCAGACAGGGACCAACAAGTACCATATTTTAACGTCTTTTGGTATGACGTGGTCGGGGATCGAACCCGCGACCTTCCACTCTCCGGGCGGACACTCTAACCACTACACCACGGAGGCGGTTAGCTTAATATGTAATAACCATGACAGCATGTGTATATTATATAATAACGGGGTGTATATGTTGTATTAGTATTGGTTTTATACAGCATATTATGAAATATGTGCAATATTATATAATAACAGGGTATATATATATATTATGACAGGTTGCATATTGCACAATATGACATTGTGTATACCTGTGTAGATTACAGTCCAAGGGTATGGTTGCACATTACACAGATTTCTATTGTAAATAGACACAGCTACATTGCTGAGATCAATAGGCATATCAAATGCATGTTGTAGAGCAGTGTTCCTCTGTTGAATACTGCAGCTGATGTTCCATGTGTAGGTATAGTATTGTTCAGTTGCAGTATACATTGATGCTACACAATTCCAGACTGTCTAGACTATCTAGAACTTTCTGAAGTTATATAGTGTCTGTGTAAGTTTAAAAATACTAGTAACCTTTATGGTAGGTTGTGCCGTTGTATTACACCATGGTTGACATCGAAGTCAATATTGATCAACACTGTGCCACGACCTGCCTGAACCTGGGCTATTAACCCATACCCCTGAGACATCATACAGTGAACTCACTTCATACCCTGTAGGAGGTCATACAGTGAACTCACTTCATACCCTATAGGAGGTCATACGATGAATTCTCTACATACCCTTTAGGAGGTCATACGATTACCTCTCTACATATCCTTTAGGTGGTCGTACTATGAACTCATTTTATACTCTGTAGGAGGTCATACGATGAATTCCCCACATACACTTTAGGAGGTCATATGATGAACTCTCCACATACCCTTTAGGAGGTCATATGATGAACTTTCTACATATCCTTTAGGAGGTCATATGATGAACTCTCTACATACCCTTTAGGAGGTCATACGATGAATTCTCCACATACCCTTTAGGAGGTCATATGATGAACTCTTCACATACCCTTTAGGAGGTCATATGATGAACTCTCTACATATCCTTTAGGAGGTCATATGATGAACTCTCTACATGCCCTTTAGGTCATATGATGAAATCTCTCCATATCCTTTAGGAGGTCATATGATGAATTCTCTACCTGCCCTTTAGGAGGTCATGCAGTGAACTTTCTACATATCCTTTAGGAGGTCACACGATTACCTCTGTACATATCCTTTAGGTGGTCATACTATGGACTGATTTTATACTCTCTAAGACGTAATGCGATGAACTCTCCACATATACCCTTTAGGAGGTCATATGATGAACTCTCTACATATCCTTTAGGAGGTCATATGATGAATTCTCTACATGCCCTTTAATAGGTCATGCAGTGAACTTTCTACATATCCTTTAGGAGGTCATACGATTACCTCTCTACATATCCTTTAGGTGGTCGTACTATGAACTGATTTTATACTCTCTAAGACGTAATGCGATGAACTCTCCACATACCCTTTAGGAGGTCATATGATGAACTCTCTACATATCCTTTAGGAGGTCATATGATGAACTCTCTACATGTCCTTTAGGAGGTCATATGATGAACTCTCCACATACCCTTTAGGAGGTCATATGATGAACTCTCCACATACCCTTTAGGAGGTCATATGATGAACTCTCTACATGTCCTTTAGGAATTAGGAGGTCATATGATGAACTCTTTACATGTCCTTTAGGAGGTCATATGATGAACTCTCTACATGTCCTTTAGGAGGTCATATGATGAACTCTCTACATGTCCTTTAGGAGGTCATATGATGAACTCTCTACATGTCCTTTAGGAGGTCATATGATGAACTCTTTACATGTCCTTTAGGAGGTCATATGATGAACTCTCTACATGTCCTTTAGGAGGTCATATGATGAACTCTCTACATGTCCTTTAGGAGGTCATATGATGAACTCTCTACATGTCCTTTAGGAGGTCATATGATAAACTCTCTACATATCCTTTAGGAGGTCATATGATGAACTCTACATAGCTATCTGTCTATCTATCTATCCATTTTTATAGCGCTGGGTTCCAGTTAGGCTGCTCACAGGGGCTGTTTTTCCCTCGGCACATCATAATTTCAATCTCAACTCCATGGGGATCATACAACTCTTGCAGCCACTAGGCGCACCAAGTTAATGTGGCTTTCATCCTTTTGAGGTACCCAATCACATCTGTGTTGCTGTACCTGCAACTAAGTGTTTGCACATATTCATGTGCCTACCATCTGGTCATTTACCAACGGATTCATGGGTTCTTTTAAGTGCAAAGGGTTGTGTACTGTACACTAGGGGTTGTGACAACACAGAAAGAGTATGCACACAAAGTTGACTCCCAAGTTTTTAACACCTGGTCACAGGTGGGCTCGATCCCGGCACATCAAGCTCGCTACCGCCTAGACAGCTTGCCCACTACGCCACCATACCCTTTAGGAGGTCAAACAGTGCATTCATTTTATACCTCTCTACATGCACTGTAGGAGGTCATACGATGAACTCTCCATATACCCTTTAGGAGGTCATATGAGGAATTCTCTACATACCCTTTAGGAGGTCATACAGTGAACTTTCTGCATACCATTTAGCAGGTCATGCAATGAATTCTTTACATACCCTTTAGGAGGTCATACAGTGAACTTTTTACATACCCTCTAAGATGTAAAATTGTGGCTTTTCTTTGAGGGTCTCTCAAACATGCACCACAACAGAAGAGCTTCAGCATGCAGTTGTTGAAAGAACACTGATTGTGTGATAGTATCACATTACAAGACAGTCATATGTGATGGCCTACAGTCATGACTGAGTGAACTTCTTTTCAGTCCTAAAAAGTTTGGTTACCTCCACTGCTGTCAATTAGATGAATAAGCCTGTGGCTAGCAAAATTTTGATTGGGCTAAAGATTCTGAAATGTCACCAGCCAGTGAGGTGATTAAAATTTGAACAGTGATTTTCGTTAGTGCACATCTCTTAAAATGTGAATGAAAATAGAAAATGTCTGTTTCTGTAGTTGAATATTGTCATGAGGTATACAAAATCAAATATTTCACTCTTCATTTGCTATTCAGGTTTACTCTACTGAGTCAAATTTGTGGAAAAATATATGGTTACTTTTTTAAGCCAGTGAAATTAAGAAGCTAAAAACTTCCTAACTAGTCAACCTGGTCTGCAATTTTTTAGACTTTTTCTCACACTAGATTCACACACATGCATATATCTAATGTTGATTAGGGTGACTTCAGCTAATATGAATTTACTGACTGCTCAGCTAATGTTAATGCGGACATTCACCCCAGCAAGCAAGCACCTTCATAGACTTTGCTGGTTTTTGGCAACAAAACTTCACCATGCCAGTAGTGTATTGTCCAGTCATTAGGGACCGTTCATAAATTATGGCTAGAGGGGGTGATGATGATTTTTATGGAGAAGCATGTACAATTTGAATGACCCCCCTAAAATTTATGTACAAAATAAGTGACCCCCCTTGCATGTCATTTACAAAATTAATGACCCCCCTCCCCTTCCCATAATTTCTAAGCATAATTTTAAACATATTTTTATGTACAAAATTGTTGACCCCCATAGTAATGTGGTGTACAAAATTGATGACACCCCCACTCAGTATGTGTGTACAAAATTGATGACCCCCTAAGCTCCCAAGAACAAAATGGGTGACCCCCCTTAAAATCATCATCATCCCCCCTAGCCATAAATTATGAACAATCCCTTAGACGGCATCAGCACTTGATAGATTAGTACTCTACTTCCTCCATCACCCATGAATGCTAGTACATGGTCACTATTTTTAACAAATAAGCCACAGCCTGCTTCCATAGATGGGTAAAAGATTAAACATTGGCAATAGTTCTCATGCCACAATTGTCATTGCCTTGTTGCCATTTTTTCTACACATTGCTTCAATAATAGCAAATATTAGTGTTTGTTCAAAGTTACTTGATGGACTAGGGTTCATTTGACTTCCATGAGTTTTACAAACCTTACTTGACTAAACATGGACAGAGTCACTAAACACTAAACATCCCATGTATTCATGAATGATGGAGGAACATAGTGCATTCAAACCCATAAACTACTGACAATAAACGTGAGGCTGTGAAATATTCTGTTATAATAATAGTTTATTAATTATTATACATGTATTATGTCTTTCTCCTTCAGATTGAAACCCAGAAACTGAACTTCAAGGAGACGGCAAAGGCGAGAACAAAACATGGGATGAATGATGACGGTTCGTCCCGACGCAGTGACAGCATCACCTCTCAAAGTACAGCTGATGGGAGCCAGTGAAATTCCAGACAGAAGTTACCATAATGCACAATTCCTGTAGGAACAAACTGATGAAAGCTATGCGAGGAAGATGACGCTGTCTTTATTGCCTTGTAGCCTGTAGATCAAGGGAGATAACTCTCAGCAAATGGAAGATAACTCATCCTAGTTTTGTGCAAGGGAGAGAGTTCCTGCGTCAAAATGCAGAGAGGCAAGATGTATTTTGAAAAAACATCAACAATTGCATAATTTTGTTACTTTGCCACCTGTATTTGTCATTGACATAACTGGTCTTTGATGGGTATGTTGCAGGACGTGAATGATTAATTAGCTATGTAATTAACCAACTGCTCTTTGTAGTGTTGCTAATACATGTGTAACTCAGGCCTTGGCAAATACTGAGAAAACTGTACCATTGCCAGAAGGTATCATTGAATGTAAAACGGTAACATGGAATGTAAATGTTTAGATAACCAGAGCAAGTTTTGTGTCTTTGCAGAATTTCGTAATACCAGTTTGGTTTGTTGTTACAAAAACCAGTATGAACATGAAGCTTTATTCAGTGACTCAGTGCTAATTAATAGATGCTGCTGCCATCTTCACAGCTGTCCTCAGCGTCTGTCTGCCACATATGAATGCTACTCTAGTATATATATGAAACAATGGTGTATATTTGCTGCATGCAAGGTCAGTGTTGAAAGCAATGTTCCGTGTGGGCACACAAGTCCTCAGATTACAACTGTCTCCCGTGTATGTGTGCATGCCGATTCCAGCTTAAGGCTCTTGTCATGATATGTAATCAAAAGCCTTAAACCTTAGTCATTTGCTTACGGTATAACCTCATCATAAGATTGTATGATATTGACTTAAGGATATTTCCATCCCATTAACACTATTTATTCCATCATGTTGCTGTAAGCTTAAAGTAGCTTTAGAGATCTAGCAAAGAAGTCATCTACTGGTCTTGTCTCATTTTCCCAGAGGTACTTTAAATAAGTATTTCAAATGAATAATTAAAAAAAGACTTAGTATCAAAGATATGTAGCGAAAAATGTTTGTTTTAAAGAAATGACTAAAAAATATGTTTTTAAATAAAATCATTAGAATATAATGTACATGATGATCATTGTAAGTTATAAACTGTGTAACAATTAAGGAAATTATTTAATGTTAGGGTTATTATTGTTAGTGAGAAATGTTAATTATCTCTGCACCTGTTACTTTGTATGCCACATACACAATTCCTCTGTATGTAGTTTACGATGCACAATTTGTATGTTAGTAAATGTTATGGGTAATATAAGAACACTTTGTGTAGAGGTTACACTTAATTATCTTTCTTTGAAAACATACTTGATTAATATGAATCTTTTGTAACAAAAGTACATGAATTTCTTTTGGGCTGTTAAAATGATGAATTTTATTGCACTTTTCCCTTTCTGACCACCATAGTAACTATACAGTTATCAATTAATTATGAGCAATTGAACAAAAGTGTATTCTCTTCTACCTCTGTTATGTTTATGCACCCTTGCCATTTTGAAGTAGGAAGTAGATGGTTATGGAGCCATGTGTATATTTTCCAGGTGCCTCAATCACTAATGCCCTTTGAGCATTGATGCACTGGTTATGATGTGGACATAAGGGTTGTTGGCAGGTGTTTCAGTACCATAATATTCCCAGATTATAATGAGATACTGCAAGAGCAATGTATCTAAAACAAGAGTATGGAGGTATATCTCAAAAAATATTTGAATGGAGTGCTCATTGGAAGCCATTGAGGAAAAATAATCATGTTAGTGTTTTCTATGTGCTTGTTTTGCCTGCTATGATGCTTCTGAGGGTTTTCATTGTTAATGTTACATGACCACATAATGTTTTTCATGATATTTAGTACACTTACTTAAGATGAGAAGCAGATACAATGCTTTTAACCGATGCAGATTTTAGTAAATAGTGCTTGTTATTTAAGAGAACTACAGTTTTACTTTTTAAAACCTTTTAGTTTCATACTCTCTATAGAGATCATTTTTAACTCTTTTGAGCTGTTCAGACCTTTTGCTGACGTTTTTCTTTTCTTTTCCATTCCTCAAACTTTCGTTTACGGGTTTGAGTTTTTGCTCACAGTATCTGCTTCTTCTTCACAGAAAACGTAATGTACTCCATTCTAATCATCCTGTACTTCAGTAATGAAGCTGATGCCTTCATTGTCAAAGCCACAGTCATCTTGTTTTGTGGTAAGCAAGCTGAATTAGATATGCCTGAATTCGTACTGTAAAACTATGTAAGTGCAATGTTGACATGATAGAAATGATTAAAATATTTTTTTGCAATTTTTATTGTAAGTTTGTATCATAATACGACTAAAATACCAAAAATTGTTGGTTTTTTTCCTTCCCTGGCGTCTGTCACCAAAGGACTGCATTTTTTTATAATTACCATAAACTCTTCATAGAAACAGTGAACATACTAATATTTCATGATATATTTAACTAACTGAAACAATGAATACGACTTACTACACAGATAAGCATGTACATTGTGGTTTATATATCAATAATTCATTACAAAGTGAAAGAAATTAAGTGTCTTGTATCAACATGCATGTATTTTAAAGTTATGTATATTGAGTTTTTTATATGCCATTTCATAAAAAACTTCTTTCAAGGTTGCTATTGAGGTAAATGTTTGACATCTTTGTGTACTGCTACATCAACAGGTGTTTGTGAGTCATCCAACTACTGTTTCCTGGAATACTGAAGTCTTCCTCTTGTCGTTACAGCAGATAAACCATCTCAGTGTCTCACTATGTTCATGAATATGTCCATGATAATCAGGGCTCTGTTGAGAGACAGTAAAGTTCAAAGCTGCATAAAACCAAAGTCATTATTATCAGCATTCTTATATACTGCATAATATTGAAACACCATTCTATATTTTAACATTATACATCAAACATTCTGAGATGTCAGTGCTCAGATATTGAACTTCTTTAGGTTATTGTTGGTAAACCTTCCATCCTCCATTAAGTATCAGTCGTCTGTCATGTGTCCAGGTTCTGCAGAATCTAGAATTAAAGCTTAGTGTCTTGACAGAGTTACCTCCCCTTTCTGCTCTGTGATTGGCTGACTATAACCACCCGTTGTGTTGTCCTTGACCTTGTGCTACATGTGTGGTCAGTGTGATGCAAGATGTACACATCCAGCACCTAGCATGGGTGCAGCTGTAGCTACACTGGCCAATAAACATCATTCTTATCATGCCTTGTGGTGTTCTCCTTACCAGCAGTTCCTTGGGTGATTGTGTGAGTGAGTGAGTGAGTTGGGTTTTAACCCGCTTTTAGCAATATTCCAGCAATATCACGGCGGGGGACACCAGAAATGGGCTTCACACAATGTGCCCATGTGGGGAATCGAACCCGGGCCTTCGGCGTGACGGGCGAACGCTTTAACCACTGGGCTACCCCACCGCCCCTTTGGGTATTGTGTGGAACTATTGGTCCAACTGTAGGGTCGTTTCCATCATTGGTGCAACAGATAGGTATGTCAGGTATGTTTCAAATATGTACCCAATCCAAAATCAGAATACAGAAAAGTAGTAGGATGGGTCCATGTTTAATTGCAATGTGGAACTACAGTGCACCCTGGTTATGATTAACCAGTGCACCCAGATTAACTGATCAAACTCATTAAAGCTTTAAGTAGTCAACACATGTGACAATACACTTCCTGCCATCTTCAACGAGTCACTTGCGGCCACATTGGAAGTATCCAGTCATTCAAGGCTCATTACAGGAGACATGCCCTCAATCATCTTGTTGATTGCATAGACAATGCTGTCCCACCAACCATCCTGTTGAGGTCCTACCTGGTTATGATGCCACCTGGATATAATGCCATAGTTTCTTCTGTACAACTGATGGCATTATGACCAGGGTATACTGTAGTTCCTTGACTCTGAACACTAAAGGTTCCCTTCAGGATCGGATCTGCCCTTCTGTTGTATGAGAGTATTACAGCTTACTGTATAGAATGAAAACCAAGCATATGCCATGAGGACTACTCTTCAATATCGTGAAATCTGCAGCATTATCCAGCATACAATCAAAAGCAAGTGAACCAAAATTACAACATGAACATGTTTTGGTTTCGGGTTGAGGAATCTGCCATTTAGGCTACCTTGTTCGGCAGTGTGTTCTGATTTGGCTACAGTACATTATATGTATACTGAAACTTATCATGGGTACATGTCACTAGAGGGCAACTAATATATGCTTGACTTGACTTGAATCGATTAGTGGTTGGGGATGGGTTTTGATTTTCTTTGTTGTTTAATGTTCCAGCTATGACCGAGTCTGGACCAGACAATCCAGTGATCCAGTTTCATGAACATCTTTTGTTTGTTTGTTTGTTGTTTAACGCAGCACTCCAGCAATATTCCAGCTCTGATCGAATCGGGACCAGAAAATATAGTGATCAACAGCATGAGTATCGATCTATGCAATTGGGATAGGAACTGTTGCCTTACTATATGATCTTACTGAACTCAGCGATTGACTGACCACCTAACCCCTATATGTTTGTCATGCAGTAGGAAGCAATGGACTAATGAAGACCAATTCTGCTGCCAGATCTTCTATCTGTAAAATGACCGCCTGGGGTGTTGGTTAGACGTGACTGGTTGAGTGTCATTACACCACGCACTAAGACATTAAAATATGGTACTTGTTGGTCCCTGCCTATAATTAATCAACAAGGACTGGTCGACTCGGAGTCAGTATTCAGTGGGGTATTCCTTCACTGTGATGGTATCCTCAGTGGGCTAGCACTATAAAACCAGCTGTCTGGGCTAGTACAAGCAGCCTTACTTACTGAACGTCTTTTGTATTCTCAGGCATGACATAAAACCCAATTTCACCTCATCTACCTGTAAAAATGACATATTTCATATTTTAAACACTGTTTAGAATATCTGTATCCTTTGGATTCTTACTAATAATGGATGTAAACATCTTAGTATGCTAAGACCTGGATTATTGTCAAAGTGCCCACATGACACAATCTTACTTGTATAATATACTTTTTCAACATCTAGTCATGGATGAGTAGTAAGCTGGACAGGATTTGCTATATTCTGCGTAAAACCAAAATGGGAGTTATACATTGTCAACCATGCAGTGGATCGAACCTGGACTTTTGTGTGGCTAACACTTTAACCACTGGGTCAGGCTGCTGCCAATTTCACCTCACCTCTACCTGTAAAATGACATATTTCATATTTTAAACACTGTTTAGAATATCTGTATCCTTTGGATTCTTACTAATAATGGATGTAAACATCTTAGTATGCTAATGTGCTTGATTATTGTCAAAGTGCCCACTGACACTGTCTTACTTGTATAATATACACTCTTTTCAACATCTAGTCATGGAGTGAGTAGTAAGGTGTCACAGGATTTGCTATATTCGAAAAATATCGCACCAGAAATGGGATTTATACATTGTAACCATGTGGTGGATCGAACCTGGACTTTTTGTGTGAAAAGCGAACACTTTAACCACTAGGCTATCCTACTTCCTCTCAAGTCCTGGAGGGCACATGGGCAACAGGCTGATGACTCCAAGTTACCTGCATTAGTCCCAGTGAGTTAGAGAGTGAGTGTGGTTTTACGCTGGTTTTAGCAATATTCCCACAATATCAGGGCGGGGGACACCAGAAATGCGCTTTACACGTTGTGTCCACTTGGGTAATGGAACCCGGGTCTTCACAGTGAGGGCGGTGGAGTAGCCCAGTGGTTAAAGCGTTCACTGGTCACGCCGAAGACACGGGTTCGATTCCCAACATGGGTACAATGTGTGAAGCCCATTTCTGGTGTCCCCCGCCGTGATATTGCTGGAATATTGCTAAAAGCAGCGTAAAACCAAACTCACTCACTCTTCAAAGTGATGTGTCAACGCTTTGACGATTCGGCTACCCTATTGTCTCTCATTGGTCAGACACCATGGTGGAAACACATGTATCACACAGATGGTGTCATCACTGGGGGAGGTTTTGGTGCTGGGATGCTGGGTTGTGATGCAAGTGGATCCGTGAGCAGTTGGATAGTATCAGTGAGTGTTTTACACAACTGAAATTTCCATGGTAGGGTGACCATCAAACACTTAATGTCCCTAGTTACAGTTGTCATTGGCAAGACGTGGGACATCCAAGTAATTAACGAGATATTTCTTGCATCACACACACAATTATAATTCAGACGAAAGTAGGATTTTAAGTAACATTTATTCCGAATAAGCAACCAAACAACGCGTCGTAAGACTACAAGAATCGTCAGTAAAATGTTCCATTTATCTCAAAATGCCATGATCATACTAATCAGAACAAACAACTACCAAATAAATAATCAGCGTAAACAATATGATTAGTAAAACAGTTTCTTAAAAGCATGTTATAGGTCATCCTCGATAATCTCAAGAGTATACGTTACGATTACTCTCCACTATACCCTGGATTCATCCACGGCTCATTAGTTTATATAGAGCTCGAGGATCTCAAACTAATGAGAGGCCCGGGAACCAGGATGAGGGAGGTAATAAAATCATCGGGCCAAGCTGTGGATGCATCCAGGGTATAGTGACGAGAGATCGTAACGTATACCCTGGAGATTATCGAGGATGGTTATAGATGTATTTAATGCGAACACTGGCTATAAGTTTAAAAAACTTAAATGAAACAGGCCAGTTTCTGAACTTTTCATGAAGGATTACGTGCGGCGATCGAGTAATCATTAAAGACACAACGTTAAAAGCTTTCTTCATTAATATTTTTTTTCTCGAAATTTACGTTTGTCTCCATTAATGGAGGTGAAACCTAAGAAACTAGGTCACTGGTTGCGTCATTACACGTAGTTCAGCCATTCCGCACGATCAATACATACCTCAGAAGGCTTACCATGAACATTTACCAACCGAAAATAAATGCACGTCAAACAAACTACTTTAGAGTACCATTATTACCTAATTGTTAGAATATATGGTTCAAAACCTATTTATAAAGCAACTCAGTTAAAGGGGTTTTTTCAAGGACAGAGAACTATCGCGTTAGGATGAAACACACGTAAAATCACCCACTGCCTAGCCGGTGCCTCAGCACGATAGTAATTGACCTCAATTTTTGAGTAATCATTGATATCTCATTTCTAGTCAATTCCAGCACTATCAAGACAGGGCTCCAGGGGGTTGGCACACTAAGCCTGGCAAATCAAATTTTGTTGAATGTTAATGTATTTAAGTGACTGTCGCCACAAAAAGATGTCTTTCCAGTATAAGTTTGGTGGTGTATCTGTAATTTGGTTTACAAAATCGATGTCAGGAAGATGTATGTTGTGTGAATTGGTCACAGTATTGAAATGTCAACGTTTTGAAAACATATTGTTGTATTTTAATATACTAGGGTAATTGTCAGTGGATTCGTGCATCCATTGGTGATTTCAATATGATATATCTAGTGATACTACCAGATGTATGAGAAATTATTTTTTGATTTAGTCCCGTTAAATTACCACCACCATATCCACCCCCCAAAAAGACCAAAAAAAATAGAAAATAAAATAAATAATAATAAATAAATAAAATAAAATAAAAACCAAAAAAACCCCCAGCAAAACAAACCTATTAAAAACGCCAACATAGATATAAACAACAACAACAAACAATGAGTTTGGGAGTTTGTGCTGGTAACATTATTCCAACAATATCTTGTCGGGGGACACCGGAAATGGGCCTCACGCATTGTACCCATGTGGGGAATCGAACCCGAGTCTTCGCCGTGACGAGTGAACGATTTAACCTGTGATCGGTTCCCAATTGCGTAGATCAATGCTCATGCTGTTGATTACTGGATTGTCTGGTCCAGACTCGATTATTTACAGACCGCCGCCATATAGCTGGAATATTGCTGAGTGCGGCGTAAAACTAAACTCACTCACTCACTTGAACCACTAGGCTACCCCACCGCCCCAACTACGGTTTTATCCAACTCAAAGGGACCATTAACTTAAATTCGTAATAACCGTAGTTCGTTATACGCATTTTGACTGAAATGTCCAGCAAGTGGCCAGGACCCTCAAAGACCCAAACAGTTCCTCATATTCATCAACTCGTTTCAAGCACGTTCGTTATAAAAATACTGTACTGGGCCCTTATTCTCAAAACGTTCGTAGCCCTAAGAATTCTTAACTTTGATCGTAGCCAGTGTGTTA